AGTGAAAGAGGGTTTACACTAAGTAGCCAAAGTTAATAAATTTGTGGCCCTCTACAATACTCATAATACAGTTCTCAATTACATTAAGCAGAAAATACCATACAATAAATATACAAGATATACCCACATATCAGCCGAAATCTAAACTTATTATTACAGTAAAAAATGTATTAAGCGGACACCCTCTATTGGGCGGACAGCAGCGCAAGACCCATTTTTCTCCCGCCAGATCAGTTACTGTGAATAAATACCTGTATTCAATGGACACCTCTATTAAGCGGTCGTGGACACCTAACACTTAACTTTCACGGTCATTTCTATTGTTAGAAACCTTTTTAAACGGACCTTGGAAAAAGAATGCATGTTACTTGTCCACGAATAAATAGATCGACCATTTGACTTTACCAACAGAAGAACTGTCAGATCTAAAAAAAAAGCTACGGAAATGCTGTCTCTCATCTGTTTCAACAAAGAGTAATCAAATTAGTAATACGTATGTGACCTCACCGACAAAACATTTATGTGGCAAACAGGAAATTCGTATTTGTACCTAGAGTTTGTAAAACTAATGACATAATAAATCCTTCATTTATCAAATGATCACATACAGTTACTTGTCATTGTTTATGGAAATACGGTACCTTAGAATTCCGAAAGTAACGGCACCCGTTGCTTTCGGATTTACCAGGGAAAAGGGGCCGCTACTTTCGGATGGCCGTTACTTTCCGATGGTTAAAAAACGTTTGTATGTTTTAGACAAAGCGGACGCGTAACACGAAATTAAAAGTTCCGTTTACGTATGTTACTAAATGTACCCATACAAACAAAGCAGACTGTATAACGAAAACGGCCCTTAATGATGGTATTATAGAGCAAAAGTGTAATGGTCGTATCATATCATAATGTCGCACTGTATCATTTTTTTGTGACCCTGCTGCCAGGCAAGTACAGCTTATAATTAGAGTTTCAAGATAGAATCGGATGAGTTCCATATAAAACCACAAATTAATAACTCTTTAAGTTGTTCAGTCCTGCAGTCAGGCGGATCCATTGGTATTGGGCTTGAGATCAGAGTTTCTCTTTCAGTGACTTCTTTAAAGGGCCCCTACTTTCGGGGTGTAATAGGAAGGTAAAAAAAATAACGTTACTTTCGGGGAGCCGGTATTTTCGGGGGCCGTTACTTTAGGAATTCTACGGTGGGTAAAGTCTGCATACGAACCAGTTGCCCACCAGGCCGGAGCTTATCCCAGTTTCCGTAGCATGAAGGGACTAGGAGTATTTCTACTCCCCCCTGGATGGGATGCTAGTCCATCGCAGGGTTACTCCCAGCATTAGGTTCAG